ACCTGATTTGCTGTACTCACACAGATATACAGATGTATCAAGCAGGTGCCCCCTCCCCTTTAACCTGATTTCCTGTCGGCTCTGCCTGGCCCCGCCCTTCTCGCCCCTTTAATTCCAACATGGCGCCGCTGCCTGTGATCCTGGAGTCGGGGGCAGCGTCTGATCCTGGGCTGAGTCGGAAAAACGACAGAATAACCACAAATAGCAAATTAGATCTTTAAATCATTTCACCGGGAGGAGAAAGTAATGGAATAAATCAGGCGGGGGCACGCAGAGAGAGAGAAGGAATTAGAGCAAAATAAACAAATCCTGGGGAGGAATTGATCATTAAGTTTATTTTTAATGATGGTATTTATTATAATAATATAATTACATTGGGCTTTGTGGTTTAAAGACAAAGTCAAATTCGAGTGAGGAGCGAGCGACTGGTGTGTGTTTTGGGGCTGAACCGGAGTGTCCTTTTTAATCATCATTTGCAAGTCGGACAAATTGTTTTAAGAATTAATTTGCATTTTCCTTCAAAAAGAAAATAAACAGACCAGTACACAGAGAGAGGAAGGGGTGTGTGAAGGTTGTGGTGCACATTGTCCTTGGATTTTCCCTCCCAAAGGCAGGATCAGGTGAGTCTTATTTTCTGGCAGCCCAGAACTGCCGGCTAATTATTATTATTTTTTGAAAAAGATCAATATCTTTTCCTTTAAGTTGCATTCTCTGTATCTGTGCGTATGTTATACGTTCATTTTTCACTCTCTCTTTTCAATGATCTGTCTTTTCTCATTCCCTGTCCCCCAACCCACCCCCACGGTCTGACATTTGATTTTGATTATGTTTTTGTTTTGACCAGTCAATTTGTGTCTCTGTGTTGGGGAGATGGTGGTTTTTCTTTTGATGGAGGTGGTGGGGTTTTTTTTTTAATGGAGGGGTGAGGCTCGGGTGTTTTGGTCCCGTCTCGAGTTCCCAATGTTGGCAAGGAAGGCTGGAAACTACCCAGTTGCCTGTTGGTTCGTCCCAAAGAGCTTTACTGGCGGGTTAGTCGTGTACCTTGGAGGGTGGCACCCCATGCCCCAAACAATTTGTTTTGACTATACCCAGTGGCTGAGCACCCACTGCCCCCTGGTTTGAGGGCCCTGCAGATTCTGAACTTGACAGTTAAAGGGACGTTGTGCTCCACGCTTACCAAAGACCACTTACAATGCTGCTGTCTTGGAGGAAATGTGGACAGACGTTGTTCACAGCAAGGTCTCTCAGTCGGGAACTGCCAAACCTTCTACCATGTGTGATGTTGTGCGTGGGTTAATTATAGCCCTGGGCAACAGGAGAACTCTGCCTTTCGTTTGAAATAGGGCAGTGGATCTTTTCATGTTACCCGAGGACAGGTTTGACAGGTCATCCTAGAAGCTGCGCTGCAGTGCTACTTTGGAATGTCAGCCTTCATTTTGAATTGACTACTCTGGCTTTTGTTCAACTTTTGTTGAAATATGAATCTGTCTTGGCTTAAACCATAGTGATTTAATGTTCACTTGAAATCGCGTTGGGAGTTCTGGAGAAAAGCAAGTGCTGTGAAGTCAGAGGCCTCTTGATCATGGTGAACTTGATCATGCCTTGGAGCATGTTGGTACTGTCCCTGCCTTTGAGCCAGGGAGACCAGGTTCGAGTCTCACCTGCTCCAGAGGTGTGTAATAACATCTCTGAATGGGTTGATTAGAAAATACCACTGACTGAGTAAGTATACAGTTTTCTTTTTGAAGTTATTTGGAAAATGTTTTGTCGTGCTTTTGGTTGCAGTGGTCATTTGATCACGTCAAAAAAATTTCAGTAAATCAGGGAGAGTCAGCGTAGATTCCTGAAGGGTAGGCCATGTCTGACAAGTCTCAGAGATTTTGAAGAGGTGACAAAGATGGTGGATATAGCTAAGGCAATTTGAACTTCCAGAAGGCTTTTGATTAAAGTCCCACACAGGAGACTGTTACCTAAGGTGGAAACTCTCAGAATTGAAGGCAAATTACTGACACGGATAGGAAATTGGTTGAGTGGCAGGAAACAGTGAGCTGGAATAATGGGTACGCACTCCCATTGGCTGCACATGACTAGGAGGGATTCTGCAGGCATCTGTGTTGAGGCATCAGTTATTCACAATATTCATTAACAATTTGGATAATTGGTATAAAAAGTCAAATATTCACATTTGCTGACAACACAAAATTGGGTAGATAGTATTGACAACATGGTAAAATACAACAGGAGATTGATAGATTAGGTGAATAGAAAAAATGTGGCAGATGGATTTTAATATGGGCACTTAACTTTTAAGTGTTAAAGTATTAAGGTTTTTTTTTCAGAAGGCACAAAGATTATGTACAAGTAAGGCTTGGGGGTTCAAGTGCATAGCTTTTTAAAATGCCACGAATAGATGGAGAAAATAGTTAAGTCTAATGGACTACAGGACTTCATATCTAAAGGTCTGGAGTATAAATGAGGTGAGAGTGACAGCGCTTGACATCAAGACTGCAATCGACTGGTGTGGCATCAAAGAGCCCTAGCAAAACTGGAATCGATGAGTATCGGGGGCAAACGCTGCATTGGTTGGAGTCATATTTGGCACATGGGAAGATGGTTATGGTTGTTGGAGGTCAGTCATCTCAACTCCAAGATTGTTTCTGCAGGAGTTCCTCAGGGTAATGTTCTAGGGACAACCGTCTGCAGCTGCTTTAATCGATGACCTTACCTCCATCATCAGGTCAAAAATGGCAATGTTCACTGTTGCACAATGTTCAACACCATTTGCAACTCCTCCGATACTGAAGCAGTTCACGTGCAAATGGACAATACCCAGGCTTGGGCTGACAAATGGAAGGTAACATTTGTGCCACACAAATGCCAGGCAATGACCATCTCCAATAAGAGACAATCTAACCACTGCTCTTTGATATTCAGTGGTGTTACTAGCATTGAATCCTCCACTGTCAACATCGTTGGGGTTACCATTGATCAGAAACTCAACTGGACTTGCCATATAAACACAGTGGGTACAAGAGCAGGTCAGAGGGCAGGAATACTCTGGCAAGTAACTCACCTCCTGATTCCTTGCATGTCTGGATGGGTGCAACTCCAACAACACCAGCTTGACACCAGGACAAAGCAGCCTATTTGATTGGTGCCACATCCACTCCCTTCAGCACTGATGCTCCGTAGCAGCATTGTATATTATCTACAAGATGCACTGCAGAAATTCGTCAAAGGTCTGTAGATGGTACGTTCCAAACCCACAACCACTTCCATCTAGGACAAGGGCAGCAGATACATGGGAGCACCAACACCTGCAGGTTTACCTGCAAGCCATTTAGCATTCTGACTGTGTTCCTTCACTGTCTTTTGGTCAAAATTCTGGAGTTCTCTTCCTAAGGGCATTGTGGGTCAACCCACAGCACGTGGACTGCAGAGGTTGAAGAAGGCAGCTCACTACCACCTTCTCAAGGGCAGCTAGGGATAGGCAAGAAATGCTGGCCAGCAGGTGATTCTCATGTCCTACAAATGAATTTATGAAAAAGATGCAGACATTATCCTGCAGTTATACAAAACCCTAGTTAGCTCCGCTTGGAGGAATGTGAGCGGACCTGGGCTTCACACCTTAGGAAGGAGGTTTTACCCTGGAGGGAATTCAGTGTAGACCTACAAGGGTGGTACCTGGGCTTTAGGGGTTATGGTCTGAGGAGAAATTAGACATTTATTTTCTAGAATGTTGAAGGTTACAGGGTGATCTAATGGAGGTTTTCAGGATATTAACACAAAGACAGGGTGGATAACGATAAACTGTTTCCACTGGTTAAAGATTCCAGAACCGGGGGCGTAGCCTAAGAATTAGGACCAGACCTTTCAGGAGAGATGTTAGAAAGCACTTCAACACACAGTGGTGGTTTGGAACTTTCTTCCTCAAACAATGATGCTAATTCAATTGTTAAATTTAAATCTGAGAGACTAATTTTTATTAAGCAAGGGTATCAAGTGATATGGGCTCATAGTGAATGGCCTACTCCTGTTCCTACATTCCCATTCCAATGAGTGCTCATGCTCCAGACTCTCTGTTCTTGCGCTGTATCTCTTTTGGGAACCTCATGTTACCCAGTCCTTTAAGAAGGACATTCTGTTCAACAAAATGTATGCTTTTTTTGTTTGCGAAATGTGCCATGAAAGGTTAACCCAGACAGTGCTTGCAATGGTGTAAAACTCATTGCAAAATCGCATTAGGCCATACAAAGACAATCCCTGCCTTGCCACCCTGAAGTAACCCTTCCATCTTCAGAGATTGGCAAAAGCTATTTTTTGTTTCTCTCTGGCAATAATGGAGCTTTTCAAGTACTGCCACTTTTAACCAATTTGGCTTATGTGAAGTATCTTTTGGGATAAATGGTGAGCATTTTGTTTTAAAGATGGCATTGAATATGAAGTGTATGAATTCTTATGGAGTGCAAAATTGTCATGCTGTTTTATGTGCAATCTCGCGATGAATACATTGAATTTGATTATTTGTGGGACATGTGGTTTGCTGCCAAGGTTGGTGTTTATTGCCATGCCTGATGGTTCATTACTCTTTGGAATGAGGCAATCACTGCAGTCCACATAGTGAAAATGCTCCCACAGTGCCTTTTAGGGAGAGAGCTCTGGGATTCTGGCTCAGGAACAATGAAGCGATGGTACAAAAACAGAAGTTGCCGGAAAAGCACGGCAGGTCTGGCAGCATCTGTGAAGAAAAAGAATCAGAGTTAACGTTTCGGGTCCGGTGACCCTTCCTCAGAGCTTTTCCAGCAACTTCTGTTTTCCCACCTGACTTACAGCATCTGCGGTTCTTTTGGTTTGCAGTGAAGCAATGGTGATGTTCTTCCAGGTCAAGGTTGCGGTGGATTTGCAGGCTCCCATTGATCTTCTTGCCTTGTCATTCTATGAAGTAAAGTTTGCAGATTTGGGAGATGCAGTCAAAGGATCCTTAGTGAATTGCTGCTGTGTAGTTCATGGATGATTGAGGAATCGTCCAGCATTGTTGCAGCAGTCACCTTTTATGCACTGTGTAAGATTGTGACAGTAGAAAGTTCTTCTGATCTGAATGATGATATAACAACAGACTTGGCTAAAAATAGGCATCTTGGCATCTTATCATACTTCAAAGAGCATACCATGAATTGCAATTTGTGTGCACTTAAAATAATATCCTGCAGTACCTCAATTGTGTTGACTCTTGCATAAACTCATCTTGTGAGAATGAGTTTTTGACCTGTGTTTGTTCCCGTATTGGCGGGTTGTTTCCACTGGGTGGAGAATTTCGAGTACTGTGGCACAATGTCGGGATAAGGAGTTGACCCTTTCAGATTGTGAAATGGCTTCACTCAAAGGGTTGTGAATGCTTCATTGTTGAGTATTGTTAAAGCTGAATTTCTGATCTGTCAGGCAATCGAGTTGTCTGGTGCAGGAAAGAAAGGGAAACTGAAACTCGGGGTCAGACAGATTATTGTAGGGTGGAGCTGCCTTGGGATTGCCAAGTGATCTGCTGCTCCTGTTATTTAATGTTCTAATTAATGTGACCAAGTTAAATTCAACCTTATTGTTATTCTAGTCCTTGGGAGTAATC